ACATTTTTAATAGGGGTTGATTTGCGGAACTGGCGGGGTGTCCGCGCCCACTCTTCTGGGCATGCGCGGTGGGGTTCCTGCACATGCCCGAGGGACTGGGTGCGAAAATCCGTTAAAAGAGCTTGCTACAGCACCAATCGATCCAGCGCATGCGCACTGAATCCCATTGGTGTGAATGCACAGATGACCATTCGAAGATTACCAGTTACTGGTAAACAACCTGCTTTTAGCAAGAGAGGGTAACTTCGGATCATCACCTTTTTATACGGGGTCCTTCCCGTCGAGAACTCTCAAATAAGTTCCACTAGTAGTGTTTTATTAAAAACTAATAAGAAATAACATTCACACACAAAAACACACTGTATAGACACAAACAAGAGCTAACCAAGAAATAAAGGAAGTAGCAGGAAGCAGTTTAGGATAGGCTATAATTACCTATCTTGAAGACACAGATCGGTGGGGGGGACACCAGTGCTTGGTGCGTGTTTGACCTTGCAAACACGCGCACACAGAGCAAACAGACAGTATGCCTGTATTTATAAACAAAAATGATACCTATGGATCATTTGGAAAGAGCTCTCTCAGCCCCACCCACCTCACAGGATGTCTGTTGTGGGGAGGGGAAGGGAAAGGAGTTTATAAGCTGCTCTGAGACTCGGAGTGCAGGGTGAGATATAAATCCAATCTCTTCCTCCTCTTCTAGGCCAGGCAGTGTGACAGATTTTTTCATACCTATCAGGAGTAGGGTTTTTTAATATATATGAAGGGCATCTGGGCTTTCTCTCTCTGGGTGTCAGCTACCCAACTGTAGGGGAGAGCTGACCAGTAACACCTTGGTGTTTTGCTAGAACCAGCATTTGCAGAAGAAGCACTTATTTCTATGCAGAAAAATCTATGAAAACTTGCTTTATAGTGTCTGCGAAACTGCAGCTTTTGTGTTTACTGTCTTAAATTTCTTTTTCAGAGGGTCCCTTGACACCCCATAGTAAGGGGGGGATATATGAAAGAGCTGTTGGATGCGCCAGTAACAAAAGGCAGTTCAGGGAGCAAAACATAGCATCTCAGGATGGAACCTGCAGAAAATGATTTGTTTTGCTACACAAATACTTGCAAAGTTCCTTAGCATCAGAGCCATACCATCCACATGATATCGGGCCACCACAGATTAATGTAACACACTCCAGTCTGGATTGTGTTAGATTAATCTGTTGAGGTCTGATATCATATATTATAGATGGTATTGCATTGGTGGCAATGGACCTGCAAGTAGTAGCAGCACAAAGAATCCCAAATCAAGTGGAGTGTTCCTGCTAATGAAACCGTTTTCACCCATGGAGTGCAACTTTCTCACTTCTACATTCCCACTACAGCCCAAAATGCCCCTCAGAATGCTGCTCCTGGGGCACAATTCTATGAGGCATCTATTTAGAACACTTCAAATTGATTTGTTCTCATTGTCTGTCTGTCTGTCTGTCTCTCTCTCTCTCTCTCTCTCTCTCTCTCACACACACACACACACACACACACACACACACACACACACACGGAGTCTACTGGAAGCATAGACCTATGTCAGACATGGCGTGTTGTCTGTAGGATTTAAGTTTCCTTCACAAATAAACCTTGCAAGATACATTAATAGCACAGTAGTTCAGATTTATAGCTTATTTCATACATCTGACCACGAAATTATGATTAGTTGCTTATGTTGAAAGAGGAGTTACTCTAGCATAACTAGTTCAGTGGGGTCAGAAACAGAATGACTTTCATAACTTGATAGTGAGATGACTTAGTTCTTTTCTTTGTGTTTGCTTGTTTAGATTGATATCTTGTTTGCCCGACTAGCGCTGCAAACTATTCCTGAAGACCTAGACCTTCGAGATGATAGTCTACTTAAAAATTTAGACATTAGATGCATACGAAGTCTTAACGGTACGTATATTATCATTTGACCTGGAACCTGTTTTGAGTTGGAAGGGAGCTTTTGTTTAAAATTCAGGCAGAAGGTTTTTATGGGCCCCGGCCAGACGTGCCGGAAAACACGGAGGGGGAAGCGCGGCTATTTGCGCCACCGCATTCTGATGCGCTATTATGCGATCAGACGCGACAGCGGCTTCCCCGCAGTAAAGAGGACGATGAGGGAGGAAACCGTGTGCCGGCGCAATCACACTGGGAGGCTTCCATAGGCGGCCCGTGGCAAAGAGTTTGCTAGTACATGTGGTGTACTAGTTTTTTACTGCACGGCTTCGGCGGCTTGCTACTGGGTCGCCACGGGAGTGCTATGCCTCCCAGATGTTCCTGTATGATCGCGCCCAGATACTCTGCGGGACTCCAATGCCTTCAGCAGGGCAAATGCTCCATGTGACCGGGGCCATGATCAGTTTTTGAACTGCATGTCAGTTTTTCAGTACACTGGCTAAAACTATGAATTCTGATGAAAGGTTGTGCTGCAAAAAGATTTGTTTTCGTAACGTTTTTGTGTAGTGCAAGAGAAATCTAAGTGACCTTCTTCCTTAGGACACCAGTTGTTGTGAAAAGGCTGTTTAATATTAAGACCTGAAGTGCAGGGCAGATTTAAAGTTGAATGATTACATCTGAGCCAGTCTTGGCTGAGAGGGCAGGGTATAAATTTGAGAAATAAAATAAATTATTGTCATACCATTGTAAAATATTGCAATTTGTCTTTAAACGTTTATTTTATAAATATACTTCCAGAAAGCTTTAGGGAACTAGCAGTATTGTAGTATCCTGTAATGGGTCGTGATAAAAGGCAAGCATAAACTGTAATTGACTCTAAATCACAGCTTGGGGAGAATCAAATTCACAATTGCCATCAATCTAAAGAGCTTTCTCTCCCCACCTCTGTAGTACCTGTTCTCTTTTTACATGCCTTAGTGGCTTCTTCCTCATTTCTTTGTATGAGGCTCTCAGCTCAGGCGAGGGCAGAATGGCCAAGACTACTTTGCTTTATGCCAGGGGAAGAAGGCAGCGAGGGAATTAAAGTATACTCACCCTTAGTGCTGCAAAATCCTTTGTGACTTCTGCCTCCCACTGCCACTTTGATCATTCCTCAGCATGAGGAGAGCAGCAGCTCAGGTGAGAGGCTGAATTTGCCAAAGCACTGAAACAAACAGCATTTAAGGAGAGTAAGAACACCACCACTCCATTGTGGCCCACTTGTTCTTTTTCAACATGTCTGCTGTTTGTGACCGTGGTTTTACTCTCTCCTCCGTGGCCATTCTCTTCTTAAAAAATGGATTTTGAAGTGGAGTAGGAAATTGCACAGCTCCAAGACTAAGTTGCTTTATGCCAGGGGAAGATGGCAGCGAGGGAATTAAAGTATACTCACCCTTAGTGCTGCAAAATCCTTTGTGTGTTCTGCCTCCCACTGCCACTTTGATCCTTTCTCAGCACGAGGAGAGCAGCAGATCTGTTGAGAGGCTGAATTTGCCAAAGTACTGAAACAAACAGCATTTAAGGAGAGTAAGAACACCACCACTCCATTGTGTCCCACTTGTTCTTTTTCAACATGTCTGCTGTGGTGACGGTGGTTTTACTCTCTCCTCCATGGCCATTCTCTTCTGAAAAAATGGATTTTGGAGTAGGAAATTGCACAGCTCTCAGAATTGAATGTTGGCAATTGAGTGAATTTCACTTAATTAAGCTCAATTCAGTGAGTAACAAATTAGGGTATAAAATTCCATTTCAGAATCACAGCTGATGAAAACAAAGCAATAAATGTCCAAGCCCTCTGTTGTTTGTATGATTTTAGTTCTAGTTCTTTAACTGATAAAACATGTTTTAACTCATAAAGCATGTCTTCTGTTTCCTCTAGGTTGCAGGGTAACCGATGAAATTCTCCATCTAGTACCAAACATTGACAATTTCAGGTTAACACTGAGAGCTATCAAACTGTGGGCCAAACGTAAGATGGGTTTTACAAAACTATTTTTTAATGATTCTTTCAAGTAGGATGAAAACAACTAAAGTTGTCTCTCTTTTTTCTCTGCAACAACAGGGCACAACATCTATTCCAATATACTAGGTTTCCTTGGTGGAGTTTCCTGGGCTATGCTAGTAGCAAGAACTTGCCAGCTTTATCCAAATGCAATAGCATCAACTCTTGTACATAAATTTTTCTTGGTATTTTCTAAATGGTATGTCTCTTTAGATTACACTAAAATAAAATTTCTTATAGACCCTGATTTTAGTGTTGTTTCTATGACATTCTGTCAGATGATGTCAGGTTGAGAGGAGTTCTCAAAAGAGTATTAACAGTCCTACAGAGCAGTAAGACACTGAAAGGGATGGGAAATGTTCAGGCTGTCTTCGTAGCCTTCAGTACAAAACTTTCACTTAAATTGTGAGGAGTACAGAAACGTTACCTCTTGCCTGTAGTGTACTGTGTAGCTGTGGTCTCTTGGTCTCCAGCTCATTCCATTTTAGGGCAACATTAACTGAGCAGAGCATGCTACTAAAAGTGGGCCTGGGGCCAGAGGATACAGCATGCTTACCTCATCTAGGAAGCTTGGTACAATAGAGCAGGTAATCTTTTAAAGAGACCTGATGGGCAATTAGGAATTGCTTACCATTGGTTGGTGTCATTTTTCAAAATGAAAGAACTGAGGTGCTCAAAAAGGTAGTCATACCACCATCAGTCTTATGCAATTGGATTTTTTTTTAAAAAAAAGATCTCAATAGTAATACATCCAATTAAAGCTGATATACTGCCCTAATTATTTTAAAAAAAAAGAATTAGGGAACTTCATCTGCTATACAGAAATTTTAACAAAAAACTTAATTGCCCTTTGCTCTCCTCTGAATTGTTAGAAACATTTTGGAGAGTTAGTTTTTTTCTGTTTTTTGAGTTGGATTAATTGTAATACATTGAAGAATTCTGGATATTAAAAAAATACTCTAATTTCAGTTGTGTTATATCTCTTTTATTCCTGTTGGGGGGCCTTCTCCCTTGGGAAAGTTGGCTTCTGCCCTTTGGGCTTGTGTTGGCCAGTGAATTAGGCTTAAAGCAGTGTGACTGTTTACACACATATGTCATGGGTTTACATGAGGACTGCATATGTGATTGCTTAGCTTCTCTAGAGTAAATTAAAGACACAAGACAGATTAATAGTGTAATGTGTTAAGTGCATTCTGAAGCGAGGCTTGAAACTTTCTTTGAAGAAATTGTAGTGGGTGGCACTGTATGGAAAGACTTTACTGTGAAGACTTTACTTTTCCTAGCAATCTTGAGGCGAGTTCAGACATAAGCAGCTTCCATGTGGCTGAGGCTCTGCTTAGAGGGAGGGTGCAACAGCCAAGGATACTTGCAACATAGATTTACCAAATGTGAAGTTCCTGTGCCAGCATCATCCATTGCTGGTGGCAACTTCTTACCATTCTGGGCTTAAGGACCGGGTCTGCATACATGGCACTATGCTAAAAGTTCTAAAGAAGAAAGAAAAAGGAGGTTTTCCCCTACTTAGTTGGTATGGAAATAATTTGGGTTGGGAGGAAAAAACTAAATTTGTTAATAAGGAAGCAGGGGTGTACAGCTTTCCATTTAGAAAAGAAGCTTCATCTGATACTGCATCCAGTATAAGAAATGGAGGCTCACATTCAAACATGTTTACTTGTCATAAATAAGTGCTTTTCTTACTCAGTGCTACACTCTCTCTAAACAGGGAATGGCCAAATCCAGTGCTATTGAAACAGCCAGAAGAATGCAATCTTAATTTGCCTGTATGGGACCCAAGGGTTAGTGTATTATTTTTTCCCCTATAAGTTCACACTTTAAAATAAAGCAAATTGTTTGAGCCCCAGGGAAAAACAGACTTTTTTTTTTTGCAAACTCAGGTACTGGTTAGCATTGTGATGCTTCTAGACAAGAATTGTTCTACAAGCTGTAGAATGCAATTTATGTCCCGAGTATATTTGAAGACTGCCTTCAGTTTAATCTCAAAGCTTGCTTAAAATTTCTCAAATGTGGAAATACTGCAGCTTAGCTTTCAGCTATACCAGATATTTCACCAAGTGATTTCTTTGAGATTTATTCAGTAATGCAACTGGAAAGATGGTTTGAAGTTGAGCTACATGGCACATTTCACTTACGCCATGCATGCCTCTTGTGGGCAGTAGCTTTTTGCTATGGATGGCAATGAGCGAGTCTTATACTGCATCCTTCTTTTCCTTTGATCTGGTTGGTTTTCATGAGACTTAGTGATCTCTCATCCAGATACTTAATCAGGTATACATCTCCTTAGCATCACTAATGCTGTATAATTAGGTGCTCCTAAACAATTCATTGGGTTTGTCCTGTATAAGGCATATTTTTCAAAATAGGGTACCTACTGTTTTTCCTCCATATTGCATTTGGCTATCTCAGTCGTGTTCTGACCTTCCTGAAACCCAGCTGGATAGAAAGACTTGTGACTACAGAATACTTGGAATAATCGAAGCTTGTTGGCTGGCCAATGCAGACATATTTGGTGTATATGAAGATTGTACCATTTTTTTATTTCATTAGATAGCATACCTTAATAAAAGCCCAAATCAAAATGTTACAGTTGTTTTACCCATCATGTTGCCTTGTTACCCTTAGCATTTAAGCAGTATGTTATAGAAGGCCTCTGTATGCTAGTAGCTTAAGCAAAACCATGTAAGGCAATAGCAGGGTTTCAGCCTTAACAAATGCTGCTTTAATAGTATGGAAATGCATCTGCACCTCTTTCTTTTCCTTCCTTCATTAAACATACTGTTTTAAATAAAATATGTTAAACACATTTGATCCTGTTGGGTGCTTAGTGTTTTTCTTTTAAAAATTGGCTTTTTCTTGGCAATAGTGCTACAGAAATAAATCACAACACATATTTCAAAGGGGTTCTTGACAGCAGGTTTCCTGGTAATATCTCAGGTTCATCCAAGTAGTATGGAGATATCATTCCAGTTGCTCAATATTATGCTGTAGTCTTTTCTTTCTTTTTTGATAGAACAAAAGTGAGCTTTACTCTGTTTATGTGAATTTGAAGTAGGTTGCCTAGGTAGGGTTACCTTATAGATGGTGCTCAGCCAAGGTGGTTCATTCCATCAACATGTATAAGGTGTATCCTGCTGACGCAAGAGGCCCTTCTGCCAGCTGGGCATGCCTTGTTGCCCCCCCCCCCCCTAGCTGAATGGATTGATAGAATACAGCCCTAAAAGGCTGTAGCCAACAACTCTGTTTCACTGAGAAAAAGGGCTTCTTCCACCGGTGAAATGGAGTCACCCATTGTCCCTAGAAATACATAGGAAAGTATTACATGATTAGAAACTGTTCATAGAACTAGTAAATCTTGACATCCTAGAATTTCATGTGCTACATTAAGGTTTTTCAGTGGACATATCCCAGTTTTTTTACCATGAATGTGATTGAAGAAAACTGATTGGCTGTTGTTATATATAGGTAAATCCCAGTGATAGGTACCATCTTATGCCTATAATTACACCAGCATACCCCCAGCAGAATTCAACCTACAATGTGTCCGTTTCTACCCGCATGGTCATGGTTGAAGAATTTAAACAAGGTAAGTCATTCTGAATATGTGTTCCTAAAAGAATGGTGTGCACTGAACTGCTGTAGATTGGTAACTTAAATCCACACAGTCTGCAGAAAGCTTATCCAATAGTCTGAATTGCATGGCTTTCCTAAGATTATGTTCTCTTTGGAAAAGCATCTAGAAACTCCTTAGAATGTGTCAATCCTCAAGTGTGTCTTCTCATCCAACTTTGACTTTCCATGGTATTCAACAATTCAGCATTCTTGTTTAAGTAGTGTGTTCCTGGAAGTAATTAGCAAGTTTTGTTCATCACTGGACTCCTGAGAAGGATGCTGGTGCCACTCTCAATATCTGAACAAACAACATTGTGTGTTACTCTTAGAGAGTGTTTATTGTAATGCATTTAGCTTTGTCTCTAAAGACCAAGTGGTACATAACCCACAGTTCTGTGGTAGCAGTGTATGGTTTTTCACATGTAAGGCCTCCAGTCCTTGGAATCTCATCTTTGGGGGGTGTCTTGGGTAGCAGGACAAGGAAAGTTCTAGGGTTGCCAGGTCCCCCAGCCACTAGTGGGGTATTGGGGGGGGGGTAAGTTTGCCAGATGCAGGTTAAGATACTCCTTGAGATTTGGGGATGGAGTCTGGAAAAGACAGGGACCTCAGTGAGGTACAATGCCATAGAATCCACTCTCCAAATCATCTGTTTTGTCCAGGAGAACTGATCTTGAGATGAGCTGTGATTCCTGGGGATCCCCAGGCCCTTTTCTTCTTAAGCATGCATAGGGTTAGACTGCGTTTCCTTGGGTACAGTTTTTAGCTGTTGTATCACTGACAAGCTTATGTCATGAGGAAAGCTGTTCCAAAACAACTTTTTTAAAGGAAGGTTTCCAGAGTAGCTGAAATTGTCAGTTATACCAATTGTGATGCTGTCCCAAGCAGCTGACAAATGCTGGCTGTGAAATTATTCCTTGTGTTTTCTAAGCTCTTTTAATTGGAAAGAATGTATGAGGAGGCTGAAATGTGTTTTTATGATTCAGGTCTTGCTATCACAGATGAAATTTTGCTGAGTAAGGCTGAGTGGTCCAAACTCTTTGAAGCTCCAAACTTCTTTCAGAAGTACAAGTATGTATTTAATGACATGAAAGATGCTTTTTAGAAGTAGATTTATCTTTTTAACACTTTTGCAGCTCGTTTAAACTGACTAATTTGACTAGCACAGTTATGGACTGCCAATGTGCAGATGTGGAAATAAAATGAAAGAGCATTGATGGGTCTTGCCAGCCACTTCAACTAAGATGAAATGTTCCTGGGCTTTTATCACTTCTTAGCGATATTCCTTCTAGTATTTGTTATTAGACATGAGACTTTCCTGGAAAACTCTTTGGGGTTTCCCAAATACTATAAAGGTTCTAATAATGCTTCACATACTAATATAATGGGAAAGTTTGTTTATTGTAATTGCTGAAAGTGTAGTGTTGCCGTATACACTACTTAAAATATTAAGTAACTCATTTAACATCCATTAAAATTTATCAGAGGCCTGCCCTAAGCTAAGACTTAATTATTTGTTGTATTGGGTCATTTTGTATTAATCTAAATAATCTGATATTACAGTTTTCCCCCATTAAAAAGACTGATGATCACCACAGTGTGTTTGTGTTTTGTTTCTCCAAAACAAGGGTTAGAACCCTAAACAGGTTTGGGAAGATTTGATACATTTTGTCAAAATGGCATCTAACACATTTTCAGCCCTCTAGTCACTGTTGAAGGTGCTTCCTGTAACAGTTTATTTTGCCCAAGTGGAAGGAATGCTAAGTCTTATGAAGTAAAATTTTCGGAACATAAAATAATTTTGAAGTCGTATTGTTGTGATTGAAAGCCTTGGTATGATGAATATTAATTTTTGTTACTTTAGAACATAATATTAAAATACAGTTGACTGGGAGTTCATGGTCAGTCCCCTCCGGTACATATTGGTGCATGGATACAGTCAAGGTGTTAATTTGCAAATGAAGCAATCTTGAAGTACACATGAAGGAAGCTTAGGTTAAACATCACTCTCTCCATGACATGGGGTTGATCCTACCCCTATCTTCCCACTCCCCTGAACAAAGCTTGAAGCCTTTCTCCAACACAAGTGGCTTTTCTGATGAAGTAAGGCTCCTTGGGGGGTGGTTGGATCAATTCGCCTGTTTTTAGGATCACTGTGCCAATGCAAATTCTTGTGAGTTGGAATCCAAAATACAGTGTCTAAGGCTCTTCTGTCAGTGAAACAGAAGTTTCCTTCCTCCAGCCCGCTGAGCTCTCCTAAATGGTCCCCCAGTCTCCCAAGAGCAGCACTTGGCAGTAGATCAGTGGGCTTTTTTTGGGGGGGAGCACAGAAAAGTTCCTTGCTGCTGACTTCTGTTAATTGAAATTTTAATGTGGCTCTAAAAAAGATTATTGTGTATGCAGTGCATCAGTTCACAGAAATTTCCTTTATGAAAACCAGGTTTAAAAAGAATGACATCAAGTATCTTCTGTCAGTGTTAGGAGAGTACAAAGACCAAGCTGCCAGATCAGTATAGCTAGTGAGTGGAATCAGAAGGTTAATGAACCCTGGGTGCAAGCTAGTTAAGAAGGAAGCCATTATTTACATATTATTGGTGAAGTGTTACATGATAAAGCCAATTAAACACCACAAATTGTCACAACACAGAGGCTAACCATTTGGGGGGGTTTTTGCATTTTTGTGCATGTGTGTTCGTGTGCCTTTGCATGGAAGTCATGGTGGCCTATGACAACTCCTACTGGGGCATGGAAGACGTTCAGAGAAGTGGCTTGAAAGCCTGCCTCCCTGCCCTACTTGGCAGGGTCAGCCCTGCTTAGCTTCCAAGATTTGACGAGATCGGGCTTGCCCGGGCTATGCAGGTCAGGTCAGGGCGCCATTTATTTCAAAGATCATATTTTTTAGATACTGTTACATAAAACTATGGAAATGGTCCTTTCCTTGGATGGCTGCTCTCAAAAAGTTGTGACCACAATTTAGCAAGGTTCTGCCGGCCCACCAGTGGAGTATACAACCAGCATCACGCTTTGAAACTGCAGCTGCTTTGCCCTCCGTGTCCCAAAGACACTTAAAACGGGTGATATGTTTAAATGTGGTCACAATTTCTTCAGAAACATTCCATTTACAGGCCATTACATTTAATAGTTGCCCAAGTAATTGTCAGTAGGTTCTTGGAAACACTTCCATAAAAGTTAGTGTTTAAAGTACTAGAAGAGCCTGAAGTAAAATGTTTGATTATTTCCCCATTTACAAGCTAGTGGAGATTCAGCTTCCCAGGGGACATTTCCAGGGAGAAGTGGCATGGGATGTTAGGCACCCTCTCCTGCTCACTGTGTTTCCTCTATGGATGCCACCCTATGTTAGTATTAAAAGGGAAGCACAGTGTTAGAAACCATAACATAGCTCCATTCTAAATTTTGTCTGGAACATGAACATACATATGTTAACAGAAAACTATATTTCCCCTTAAAGTCCTTGGGTCATGTGGTTTCTTAGTATACGCAACATATACAGGCCCAGTGTTCTTACAAGAAGGCACAATTCATATCCAGTTGTGTGTGCAGTGATTGATTAGAGAGGTCTTGTGCCCAGGAGTGCTGGTCTGTTGGCTTCAGTTAAGGCAGTCAGTTGTGGTGTGGCATATCCTAAGACAGCAGTTTCCATTAAAACAAATTAACCCTCCATGGTCTGGTCTGTATACATTTAAAAACTCACATAGGGCTGTGAATTGGGACCACTGCTCAGGCTTGCTTTAGTGGGTGGTTGAGACCTAGTAAGCTTTTGCAAAATCTTTCGTCCACACTCCAGAACTATCAAACATGTTTTCTCCATGAACTGTAGGTTTTTAGGTGGTTTTCTAATCCAGTTTGCCCCTCAGTTAGTCAGGCTTTATTTTTCTGACAGTTTCAACAATTGTAATACTGATAATTGGATTTCATCTGACTATGTACTGAAATGTAGATAAGACTGGTTTATCTTTGAAGCTATGGACATGTTAAACTTGAAGCATCTGATTAATATACTAATTAGACTCAATGAAATGTTGAAAATACACTGGTTATAATCTGAACTTTCAAAATCAAGGTAGTATATAATACTGTCTTTATCTTCAAAGGCATTATATTGTACTTCTAGCAAGTGCACCAACAGAAAAACAGCGACTGGAATGGTGAGTACCTTTCCCCCCTAAGTAGTGCAGTTTTGTTAACGACCTCTGCCATCTTTTATGGGGATGTAAATTGCCGACGCTGTAGAGCTCAACCCCACAATGATTCATTCATCCTGATTTTGTTTAAAAAATTGACTGTGGAATGAAAATGAAACTTCGGTCTGCTGTTACTTACAAAAAAAGACCTTGAAACAAAAATGGCTTTTTTGTATGTGATTATCTAAATAACTCATTTGTGTGATTATCTAAATAACTCACTTCCCAGATTCCTTTCTTTGAAAAGGATGCTTACAACCCTTCGTCTTTTTTAACCAAAGGATTCTTGTTTTGATTAGAAATAAATTCTTGCTTGGCATTCAGTTTCCAATTTGGCATTTGTTACTATTTTTGAATCCCAATAAAATGTAGAATGACTTAGCTAGATTATTTTTAACTAGATCTGTAGAAATCAATCTTTTGCAAAGGATGAATCAGCTTAAACATATTTGGTATATTTCCATCAATAAAGAATTGGAACGTATTAGTCTCAAGTAAGAAGTCAGTATTTTCTGCTTAGGTTACTGAATCAACACACTTCTGTTCATTCAGGGTTGGCTTGGTCGAGTCCAAAATCCGTATTCTGGTTGGAAGCTTGGAAAAGAATGAATTCATCACACTGGCTCATGTAAATCCTCAGTCATTCCCAGCACCCAAGGAAAATCCTGACAAGTAAGGCAGATTTTTCACTCAATTAGTGCGTTGGAAGAAACATTAACCAGAAAAGAAAGCAGGGGCTAAATTGAGGTTGCTTTTGTCAGAAATAAACAATGGACGCTTTTACCAAGACTGCCCCTTCTGTTTCACATAGAATCATTTACAGAAGAAACGCATTGCCCTAAGTAGGGTTCCATATAGGCCATTGGGGGCAGTAGAAAGATACCCTGTGGTTCAAAGTAAGTGAATCTACGTATGGGGTATTTTTGGATTTGAAAGTGACAGATCAGTTTAAAATATCACTACTGTTTTGCAAATGGAGTATGACCACAGATGAGAGTGCTAGACAATCCCTGCTAAAATGATGTCAAGCACTATAACTTTTATTGTTGTGCTGATCCCAAAGACACCACATATACTCACAAGACTGTGAAGAAAGGCCTCCCCATATTTTTAGCCATAAGGCATGTGGGAGTCCTTGAGGGCTTGTTGGGTCTTGATATTTAAGGATGAAGAGTGTGATACATACCAACTACATTCTTAGATTTTAAGATGCTCCTAACTTTATTACCCACTTTAGGTCCCAGTTTTATATTACATAAATCTTACGGATTGTTCTCTTCCAACTAAACTGAACGGAATGTAGCCTACCACTGTATGCAACAAAGGGTGGTGGTGTTCTTGTGGTGCAAGGTACCTTAATTGCATGTGATGGCAGAGTATAATCCATTGTTTTTAGAAGAAGCCATCTTGGACTTGATTCTGAGCAAGGACTTGAGATAGGGTGCAAGATGTAGGTGTTGTACTAGTTGGGAACAGTGACCACAGTGCTGTCAGGTTCAGCATTCATGTTAATGGGAAAATTGCCCCTTTAAAAGGGATTAGACGGATTTATGGAGACTAGGTCTATCAGTGGATAGTAGACACAGTGACTAAAGGAAAGCTGCACATTCAGAAGCAGTAAATCTCTGAGGCAACATCAGGGGAGCACCGCCATCTTTCTGCCATGTTGTCCCTCCAGATTAACTGGTTGGCCACTGTGTGAGACCAGATGCTGAATGGACCACTGATCTGATCCAACAGGGCTCTTTATTTTCTTAATGCTGAGAACTCCACACTGTAGCTGATGAATATCTTTTACAGCAAGGAGAAAACAAGAATAGTTATGCGCCACCTGTTGGAAAAGACTGCTTATAGCAACATGAGGAGTGGAGAAGCTTATGATTTGAGGCTTATGGATCTAAAACAATTTTCATGTATCAATACATCAATGTCTCCAGATGTGAGAGATGTTCCGAGTTCAGATAAGGCATCTTGGTATCTTAAACTCCATAGAAACACAAGAATGCCAGTGTCCCAGGTTACTAGATCTGCATTATTAGAATTCAGGCATTTTACATGATTTTTCAGGCCACCCATAATCCTGCGGCTCTGTTCCTTACATTAGCCTTTGTAGAGTTGCAGGTAGACATAGGAGTTGGAAAAGGTTGCTAGCCAAAAACTTCATGTAAGATTGCTAATATCATTTTAATGGTGCTTTTTTTGTGTGTGGTTTTTCTTTTCCAGGGAAGAGTTTCGTACAATGTGGGTGATTGGGCTGGTGTTCAAGAGAACTGAGAATTCTGAAAATCTGAGTGTTGATCTTACATTTGACATTCAGTCCTTCACTGACACTGGTAAGTTTGACTTGTCCAATTTTTGCAGTTCTCAAGCTGTGCTTGTTTCAAAATCCATTACCTGCATTTGAGCATAACAGACCTTATTTGAATCATGAACTAATGCTAGCAAACCAGTTGTTCTTGTAATAGCTGGAAGTATTTGCGTAATAAGCTGTAACCCTCTAAAGGTCAAGTGGAGACAGATGGTGAGAGTAGAAGAGGGAGATTCTTGGAGCTTTGTAATACTGCAGAAATACAGCCTGCCTTATTGCTAATGCCTTGAAACCCACCTGGATGGCCCAGGCTAGTCTGATCTCGTCAGACTAATATTTGGCTAATATTTGGATGGGAGACCTCCAAGGAAGTCTAGGGTTGTGGCATGGAGGCAGGCAGTAGCAAACCATCTCTGAACATCTCTTGTCTTAAAAACCCTGCGGGGTGTCCATAAGACAGCATGTACCACTGCCAAGGCCTCTAAGAATTGCATTTGGCTCCCCCCCCCCCCTCGAGGGCTCGCCTTCCACGGGGCAACTTATGCAATGGGCAGTGTGAGGAGCAAAAAGTGCTATTTTGTGGCCTGTTGATCATGTTTGCATCCTTTGCTCCTTCACTTTAGGACAGCGTGTGTAGGGTATCCTTGTGTCATCATCTCAGTCCTGAGGTGGCTTGGGTTGAGCAGTAAAGGTTTGCCTGATATCACCCAGGGAGCTTCCGGGTTGAACAAATATCTAAGCCCAGGTGGTAAATGTGCAATATGCTGTCCTCTGCATCAGACCAGCTTTCTGTAGCCTCAGGGATGCTGTCTGTGATTGGTTGCTGCTGTGGAGAACACAATGGGAGCTTGTTACTTTGCCAAAATCAGTATCTTTAACTGGTTTGTGCTCTGCCAGAAGGTCCTCTTGGAAGAATTGCTAGCAAGCCGAGAATTTTTTTCCCCCCTTGGCTTTTCTAATCCTAAAGTGGTTCTCATTTTGTCAGCATCCTGTCAAAGAATGACCTTCAGCAACTTCTTGAGAGTTTGCAATCCCTTGATGCTAAATCTGCAGAGGCAAGGGTTTTCCCATATTGCTTTTTTTGCGTTGGGATGTTTACAAGGCAGTTTCTCTCTCCTGTCAAGCCTTTCTTTGGTCTAGTCCTGATTTACTGTCTGCTTTTCATGAGAGCCAGTCTTCAGAAGTCGTGGGCAGCAATGGTATCGAAGAAGCTTTAGGGGAGGGAGGAAGGTTGGACTCTGCCTTCCTTTTCCATTGCGTTTGGCTGGGGGGGGGGAGTAGCTGGAGAGGCTGAAGCTCAGAGATCCCATGCAGAACATTCGTCTTCTTTCTCAAACACACTTGTTAGTTTTTAAAAACTTGTTCAGGTATTTATACCTTGCTTTTCTTCCTGATGGGGACCCAGAGTGGTTCACTACAACATTCTTCCTCCTTCCATTTTTATCCTCACAGTATCCACCATCCTGTGAACCGGGGGGGGGGGGGGGGGGGGGGAGCTTCCCCTTAGAAGAGAGATGACTAAGGGGGCACATGATAGAGGTTTATGAAATTATGCATGGGGTGAGTTGACAGAAATTTTTCTCCCTCTCCCAACATACTAGAACTCAAGGACATCCAATTAAGCTGATGGGCAGTATATTCAGGATGGACAGAAGGAAATACTTCTTTAGACAGAAAGTGACTAAAATGTGGGATTTGCTGCCAGAGGATGTAGCTTTAAAAAGGGGTTAGACAGATTCATGGAGGATAGGTCTATCAGTGGCTACTAGCCATGGTGACTGAAGGGAACCTCCACCAGTGTTCCCTCTAAGCTGAGTCAGTGTGAGCTAGCTCACCGTTTTTTAGCCTCCGGCTCACACATTTTTGTCTTAGCTCAGGAAGGATGGCTCCAGAGCAAACTAGTTTATGCAGTAGTCAAATTGCTCGCTCACTACTATGATATTAAGAGGAGAGAGCAAAGAAGAATTTCAGAACATATGGTTAAGAGTCTATCAGTGGTTAGAAAAAATAAAATATAAACTTCTGGATTTCTAACCTAAATAAACAGCCTTCTGAAATGTTGTTTCAACTATTAATAAAAGGTTTATAAGGTCTATAATGAACATATAAGATGAAAAATATAATACTTTTAATTATGAGGCCAAAGAAACTGAAAAAGGAAATCACATGATTGTAAACCCCTATAAATGTTGTTTGTATGTTTATGTCTATGAAATTAAAAAATCTTCAAAAAAAATCACTTACAATTTCAATGCCAGTAGCTCACAAAGTAGAATTTTTGCTCACAAGACTCCACAGCTTAGGGGGGAGCATTGACTTCCACATTCAGAGGCACTAAACCATTGAATCCCAGAGCCAAGAAGCCACATCATGGGAATGCCTCCGCCTCCATGCTCTGTTGTTGGCCCTCCAGAGGAACTAGTTGTCCACTGTGTGAGAGAGGATACTGGACTATAGATGGACCACTGGTCTGATCCAGCAGGGCTCTTATGTTAAGTTAAGCTAAGAGAGATTGACTGGCCCAAGATGACCCAGTATGCTTACATAGCAGAGTAGAGCTCTGACCCTTGGTTTTCCAGGGCTCAGTCCAGCACTTTAGCCACTATACCATGCTGGCTTTTAAGGTACTTATGCACCACCTCTCCAGAGTCCTGCTTGAGGCAGCTCAAGGATTTCCAATTAAGAGACCATCTTTTCATTCGTTTTTTGTGAGCTCTGCTTCACCTCCAACAGAACCCCATTAACCTGCTGGCTAGGTGGGCCAGTTGATGGAGATCTCTTTGGCCTGTAGCCAGAAGGAGATACTATTCCAGGAGCAATACCTCCCTCCTCTTTGGCACATCAGGAGAAATGTGTTTGAGGCAAAATATAACATCTTTGTGTACTTTTAAAGGGGTAATACATTTTTACTGCTTTTAGGATGTGGTGTAGTTCTTGGGATTTTTTTTTTTAAAACTGCACTTTCCCTTCCAAACAAGCATACTTAGGAATGCAATTTCTTTCAGGGCAACTAATGGCTTTCTCCCAAATGTAAAATGTCTTAATGTTCTTCTAATTATGTAGTTTATAGGCAAGCAATAAACAGCAAGATGTTTGAGATGGATATGAAAATTGCTGCAATGCATGTTAAAAGAAGGCAACTTCACCAACTGCTACCTAGTCATGTCCTTCAGAAGAAGAAAAAGGTAACACTGCAAGCTACTTGATAAATATAACAAGCATCACACTGAAAGAAAAGTGGGGGGGATATTCTTCTGGTTAATATCCAGAAACACAAACAAACTCGCTAGGCACAAAATATTCTTATTCATCAGGATGGCATGAGAGCCCAGATTCTCTTAAGTAACTGGGGAGGGGGGCGGGGTGCCTCCTCTGTGGTTTTTGGAAAGGATTCTCTTTGACTTGCAGCTTAGTAATGGTTCAGAATTGTTAAAGGGTTTACCATTTTGTGGGAGCTGGAGTTTTAAACAGCTGGCAAGGATTAATAGGAACACTATTAAACTTAGATCTGTTAATGGAGAAGCTGGCTCAAACATCTGTTGGATGGTTTCAGTGTTACACAGCAGTTCTCAGGCTTGCTTCAGCAAGTCTTCTGAACCCGTGAGAAACAGTTTGAAGTTGAAAGTATTATAAGGGGGAGTGTCATCCAGCATATGTAACAGCCTAGATCTGAGGTTACTTTCTACCCACAGTGCAGTGAGCGGTGCATCCTAGTAAACTATCTAGTAAACATACGTACTGCCTTCCACATGGGGGGTAGCTTTAAGTACTGTGTCTCCTTCATTGCTTCTCAATCCTTAATATGGTGAATACTGATTGTGATTGTCTCTTTGCTTGCAGCATTCAACAGAAGGGGTCAGGCTGACAGCGCTGAATGACAGCAGTCTAGACTTATCTATGGATAGTGATAACAGCACGTCTGTGCCTTCTCCTACAAATGCTATGAAGACAAGTCCACTGAATAGTTCTGGAAGTTCTCAGGGGTAAGTGTCTCCAGCATTAACCTTGATGATGCATATTGAGCTTGTTGCTGAAGCTGAGGAGTTTCCTTAATCCTGCCTTAAAGTCAGACCTTGGTTAGATGAGTCACTTGAAGAGCCAAAATTGATAAATGGAGGTGATCATAATTAGTCTTAAGTGGAACTACCACTGCCTTTCTGTTTAAAGCAAAGAGGGAAGCCCTCTTTGAATTAAAGCAAGGTAATTAAAAGAGATTAAAAACTCTGAATAGTTAATATAGTCCTGTATATAAATTCCTTCATCTAGTTTATTGGGCTGCTTTTCCTCTTCATGTCAGAAGTCTTTACTAGGACTTCATTCTGAATTCTCAAGTCCTGTTCCAAGACATTAGCTCATGAAATTTTCCCTAAAAAACAAGCATCATTTTTTCAATAACACAGATACATGTTAGAAAAAGTTACTACAAGAATGATAGAATCATAGAGTTGGAAGGGACCTCCAGGGTCATCTAGTCCAGCCCCCTGCACAATACAGGAAATTCACAAATATCTCCCCCTCCAGGATTGCTTCCATTTCAGTGGGGTCAATTTGTATTCAGTTTCAAGTAGATAGATGCAAGAAGCTTTGCCTTTTAGTGATATTCTTTCCTCACATCATTTACTCAAGACTGTGCACAGTTTTGTATGATCCAGCCTTAAGATCATGGCCTGAAAATTCTGCCTTTCATATCATCCAGCCTAATAAAGAGCTCTGGTAAACTTGAAGGCTTTCAGAGTTTTGTGCCACATTGGTTGGTCTTAATCATAGAATCAATAAAATGTATTACACAGTTACCTGTTTGATCAAATTGTTGTGCTATGATGAATTGACATTACTATGTGTAGGTATTCCAGTTCAGGCCTGTGTGAGCTGTCACCCATTGAGCTGAATGCAGGTCAAGAGCTCTGCACCGTGACTTTCAAGATACTTCATTTTTGTTTGCTCTCTCCATCAAAGGCGCTCACACCAGCTTACAAAAAATTAAAACTAGTATGATAATTTTCAAGTAGCAGCATAAAGTAGTCATGTGTCCAAATCACATTAAAACGTATCCCAGGAGAGACTCTGGTTAAAGACATACACACCTTCGACAGGCATCAGGAATGTAGCACACTGAGCACTGGCTAAATACATGCTGTGAGGGTTTCTGTAATCAAGGTACCACCACAGAAGATGCCCCATATCATATGGCCACTTACCTTGTTTCAGATAATGGTACATGAAGTAGGCCTTGGTACTTCCATCCTGCTTTTGCCATTCCAGGCAGGAGGGTTTTGCGCATGCTACACCCAGCTAGTGAACTGTTTTTGGTTTGGTGGATCACAAGTTGTGCAGATTCATTGTCATTCATGCATGTATATATTATATTTATTTTGTTCTTAACACTTTAGCAGAAGCAGTCCTGCTCCAGCTGTGACGGCAGCATCTGTGACCAGCGTACAGACTTCTGAAGTCAACGTGCCACAAACAAATTCCTGTGAAAGCTCAGGGGGTAGGGTAACCTCACTGCTTTGCAAATATCACTTTTCTAAACAGTTCTGCTGGAGAAACTTCTTTTAGAATGGTTCATTCTTTGCCCCTTGTCACCTGTTTGTTTTGAAGGGCAAGCATTGCTGTCTGCTTTGTAACATTTGGTGTTGTAACACGTTGACATATTGACAGAATTAGCCAAATGGCTTTTAATAGTTGAAAATTAATTTTAAAAGATGTGTGAAGAATGAAAGTGGATGTAGAAGTTCCTTCTGCAACTGAGCAGTTTATTAAGTAAGCACAAAAGACTCCGCCTACCTGTACATTTTAGATTATTGATTTCTCAGCCTCAGTCCCTTTCCTTCTCAATCCACAACATGATAGCAATATTGATAGAACAGTGTGGTCATAAGGACCATTGTACTAATGTATTTGTAAGTGCTATATAAATATTAGTTACCTAATCAGTTATTTGGTATTGGTGGTAGAAAAGAGCATGAGTCCAGTACCACCTTAAAGACTAACAAAAAGGGGACTGCTGAATTAAAATTGATAATGAAGCTCAAGACAATGCATCCACCTGGACTGAATTGAGACCTAGGTTTCCTGTCTCATTACTAATGTGGATTTCTCCATGCCTACTACCCCTCTGCATATCACACCTAATCCAATCACACCTGCTATTGTCATCTGAAATCACTCCACTTTCCAATATATAGGACAGATGGACTCACATTCGAGCTGTATCTGAAGAAGTGAGCAATAACTCACAAAAGCTCATAACCTGCCACAAATTTGGTTAGTCTTTAAGGTGCTACTGGACTCTTGCAGTTTTCTACTGCTACACACAAACCAACACAGATACCCATTTTGATATTTGTGAACATTTTATTGTTGGAAATGTGATCTGACTTCTTAACCCTTGGCAGTATAGTAGGCAAGCAGCTCATGGAGTAATTTAAGAGGATTCCTCCATTATGGTAAATAGGTAAATGTTCAGTGGTTAGGCCTTTGTAGGATTTGCTCTTCCTATTGACTGGCTCCATCTGCCTAATTTATACATTATAGAATTTTAAGGCAGAATTTGGGTGGCCTTGAGCACAGGATTTCAGTTTCTCTTAGCACAAAGTAGCGAGAACTTTTGTTTATGGGTTCTGAGGCTGAATGATATGTGATTATGGGTGATCTGATTGTTGAAATGCACTCCTAGGTACTTCAAGTGAAAGCATTCCTCAAACTGCCACACAGCCAGCCATCTCTCCGCCACCAAAGCCTACCATCCCTAGAGTTCCTTCAACTCGTCTTGTAAACCAGGCACCAAGACCTTCGGGAAACACTGCAACAAATAGCCTGAAGAGAACATCGTCTCCTCATAAAGAAGAGTCTCCCAAAAAAATTAAAACTGAACAGGTATTTTGTCCGCATTCTGAATCTTTGTATTATCAAGAAAGTACCAGTTCTGTAGCACTAATTCCTCAGTGCTGCCAACAAAAGGTTTTTAATGGGCTTCCAACCAGACCATTTCTAAGGTTACCGAAGATCCCTGATAATGTGCATTGCATCTGTACCAGGAGAAGTTAAATGGAGATTTCAGCAGGTGAAGGTAACACATGAATTAGCCTCTGCAAGCAGAAGCTTTTATTGCAAGCAGAAGACTGTAGAAGTACAAATCATGGTGTCTAAAGCAGACTTTTTTGAAATCCTCTGGGACAAGGGCTGGATGATAGAAACTGCTATTTTGCGAGATGCATGCATATTGTCTGTACACAGGCTACAATTTTCGGAGACTTGCTTTAAGTAACTGCCTACTTCTCTGCCCACCCCTTGAGTATACACTATTTTATTTACAAAATTTATATCTGGCTTTTCTGCCCTCACAAATGCCACCAAGGTGCTTAACAATTTAAAACATACTTGATTAAAATCAAAACCATTAAAATCACTTCCACACACACACCCCAAACATTAAAATCGCCTCCAGCCCTCTCCCAAAACCCATACACCATTAAAGCAATTAAAACCAGACATAAAGCAGCAACTGAAACATTGGTCAGGAAGAAGAGATCACTGAGGGGTGCCAAATGAACAAAATCTATACTCACTCTTGGAAAATGGCCACAGAGGGGGACATAATTTTTTTTATGGTGAGATGGGGGAGCAAGTTTCAAAACTTTGGTGTTGTGACCAAGAAGGCCCTCTCCTGGGTTGCCACTTAACTAATCTCAGAAAGTAGGGGCACCCAAAGCAGGGCTTCCAAAGATGACAGTAACGTTCGGGCAGGTTCATGAGGTATTAAGCAGTCCTTCAAGTATGTTGGTTTCAAAACCATATAAGTCTTTGAAGGTCAAAACCAGCACCTTGAATTGTGCCCAGAAACAAACTGGGAGCCAGTGTAGATGGGCCAAGATTGGGATGAAATGGTCTCTGTGACCCATTCCAATCAACACCCTGGTTGCAGCATTCTGCACCAATTAAAGTTTTTGAACACTTCTCAAGACCAGTCCTACGTAGAACACATTGTAGTAATCCCGACCCAGATAGGCAGTCCAGAAGGATAACATGATTGAAAGCCACTGAGAGGTCCCGGAGAATCAGAATTGCACTCCCTCTGTCCATCTTCCAGTGAAAAGTCATGTGACCAAGGTTGCTTCAATCCCCGAAATAGGTCCAAACCCAGATTGGAAGTGATCTAAACAAAAGCCGTCTAGCTACCACCCATTCAGTCACCTTGCTCAAGAATTAGCTTCATCTAGGAAAGCTTTGAAAGCCGTCTAGCTACCACCCATTCAGTCGCCTTGCTCAAGAATGAAACATTTAAGATCGGTTGATAGTTATTGAAATCTCTTAGGTAGCTTCTTTATTAGTGGATGCACCTCAACCTGGTTTCAAGGCTGGGGTGATGACCCCCCTCTCTCTTAAGGAAGCATTAACTACTTCTTGAATCCACTCAGCCAGCCCCTCTCCCAGCAGATTTAAGTAGTCAGAAAGGGCAAGGGTCCTTAGGCCTCAAACTTCCAAGCATCCTGTCCATGTCGTCAGACTGAATAAACTGAAAAGTATCCCAAACAATTGGACAAGTCAGTACCTGGTACTATCTGACGCTGTTATTGCTAATGTAGAGTCCAATTCAGAAAGGATACGAGAGATTCTATCTGCAAAGCGCAGAGCAAAATGGTAACTAGTCCTTTACAGTATTGTTTCAATTGGGCCAAATCTGACACAGCATGGTATGTTTAGTAGCCTAAAGAGGAGTGCTGAAGTTATGTTATTGGGCAGGAAGTTGCCTGATCATCTTGCTACCTGAATGCTTGGACACTGATCTGCTACAAATAAAATCAAAATAAGGGTACCAATCCTTAGTTTAAAGCTTCTTTGTATATTTATAAAAATAGGGTTCTCGGAATTGTTAGATGGTCTAGGAAGGCTTCAACATGGCTAGCTGGAGTATATTTACGTGATGGTCCTCAGCACTTCAAGGAGGCCCAAGACAATGAATAAGTCAAATACAAATCGAAACCATTGAACAATTTTTTAAAAAATATGTGGTAGTATAAACGCCTAATAGTGGCCTGTTTAGAACTCTGCGTAGTTCTAAACAGCCCTATATAGATTAATGCCTCAGATTTAGGACAGCTATGTATGATGGAATAATATCTAATAACTTTTTAGTGCCTGGAATGGCTCCAAAATAGAACAGTTAAGGTTGGTGGGTAAAGTTGAAGCCACGACAGTTCTCAAGTGCCTGCAAAATGGGTTTTGGAACCTGAGGTGCTGAGACACGATGCTCCTGTGTCTACCATCTGCAGCCAGCTGAGGTAAAAGCACTTATTTGAGCTTCAATCTGCTGCTCTCAGGACATCAGCACCCAATAGCTAAAGACACTGTAATTACTGAATTTATGTATTTTGATGAAGCCAGCCAACAGAACTATTACTGTATCCTGATCCAGTTTTTATGTATTTGTTTTGCGACAGGATGAGGTGAATGATGATGCCAGTTGTGTTGAAATGAGCGATCATGACAAAATGGAAGCCAAGGTAAACTTTAAGATGTCTCGGTACTTCTCTGCGTTATTTTGCCAGTGTCTTAATCTTGCGCCTACCATGAATTTAATGCTCGTAGCCAATATGTCCCTTTCCTTACTAAGTGCAAACAAGAGGCCTAAAGCTACATGTATGAATCTGCCTGCAAGCAACAATTTTAAAAAATGTACAAATTGCATCTCTGATAGCTCTAGTGCCTAGACACAGTTCTGCCAGTTCAGGAGAGAATTGAAAGCCTTCGTATTTTCAGGGATTTACCTAGTGCACTGATGGATTGTGAGCAGTATCCTTCATAAGGCAATAACAATTGTAGGATCATTCTAAAGTTGCCAGCAGTATGGCTATATTTTTCGCGCTGCCTGTCTTTTCTTGGGGACTAAACTAACAAACAACTTGTGATTTGTGGATGTGTCCGTGGTTTATGTGCACAATGGTCGACCCCTATCCTACCACCGTGAATAGATCCCTAGATAATGTGTGACGCACCCATGAAACGTGTCCCTATTAAGAAATGACATTTGGCTTTGAGGCGCAATTCTAGTATAAATCTGAATTTTAAAAAATTGTATGTTAAAGAAGTGCATGGGTGGACAAAAAAATTAGCCGAGGGGTGTGTTTGTACTGGCATTTACTATCAGATTTACAACTGAAGTTGCCGTTTATACTCTTCTCCTTCCCCCCCAATGAAACTGATAATTAAGAAATGAAGTACTTTACTAAACAAAAAAAAACACAGTTTGAAATGTAGGTGGGAAAAGTTCAGGAGTTTTGCAAAGTATGTGCAGAGACTTTTTCCAAAATGGAACCAGCAGAATGCTAAAGTCCTGTTCTGGGGGTGTGTGGAAACGACTGCAATAGAATAGCTGCAGATATCTGCTTGTATCTAAGCAAATGCTATCATGCAGTGGTAAGCAGCAAGGAGCTTGTGGAGAAAATGTGGGGTTCTCCTTGGGAAATGCTGCCAGTGCAGTTCAAGGTAGCAAACTATTTACTTTTTGTTTTCATCCTTCAGGAACTACTTGATACAGAATTGGATACTGCTTCTCAAACTGAATCTCTTCAAACAGTATCTCTGCAAGCTCCTCAGGTATAAGATAATCCCTTGGAGATGTTGCAATTAATGGCTTAGTAAGACCTTTATAGTAACTGCAGGGATCAGAACTCATGAGGCACTACTGTGGTGATATGAAGGCCCGTGTCTGATTAGCACACCTGTGCTGCTGCTGTTGCATAGTTGCAAGCATCCATGTGTTCAGCATGTAAATCGGCTTCTCCAGTTTTACTGAGTATCCTGGCACAGTGGTGGGGTGGCTTTCTACCAGGGATTTCTTACACAGTAGGATGACAATTAGCAGAACGTGCAAAGGGAGTCACTTAGTTAAACCACAGAAGCCCTGTTCACATGAACCACCAGCTGTCTAGAGTCTCCATGCAGGGACCATTGGGGCAGTGGAGCTACATTGCACCTTGCCTCATGGTCATGAATATAACATTGGAACAGGCAGCCTAACATATGCCATCCTAATCTAATAATTCTCCACACACACACACACACACACCCCGAGTCAGTTGTCCTTGCAGGCTTTGTGGTTGGAAACTTGTGCTAGTAGGCAACGCATACACTACTATTTGCTATTTTGGGTAGTTAATACTGCAGTTCTTGCTAACTGTGTACTCAGTATGGCTGTTTGTGGGAGGGAGAATGCTCACAGGGTAGATAAAGGGTTTTCACAGACACTCGAAGGGGTGATCAAAAGAAAAGTTTGCAATACTAGTATTAAAACTAATTTTCAGTTGCTTTTTTGCCGTCAAATTACAGTTGACTTATGTTGACTCTGTGGGGCTTTTCTGGGCAAGAGACATTCAGGGGTGGATTGCCATTGCCTGCCTTTGTATAGCAACCTTGAACTTCCTTGGTAATCTTTGTCCTAACCTAGGCTGACCTTGCTTAACTTCCAAGATCTGATGAGATCAGGCTAGCCTGGACTATCCAGGTCAGGGCCAGTTGCTTCTATCAGCTGTGAAATTTTGAGTTGCGCTTTATGTTTCCTGAATTTATCTGAGACGTGTACTTCACTGCTGAAGAGCCACATGAGTTGGATAGTGTGTGCATATGTGTGCCCTATTCAAACAGTGAACATGTGAATGTCTAAGAAGTCTTGTGTGTCATTGGAAACAGAAGAGGCACCAGAGGAGGTGGGAGGGAAGGCAGGATCTCACAATCCCCCGCATATGTTTGTGGGGGAGTGTAGCAGCCCTGATAGCCCAGAGCTCAGAAGATACGTAGGGTCACTGCTTGGATGGGGGACCACCAAGGAAGACAGGCTGCTATGCAGAGGAAGGCAAGCCTTATCTCTTGCCTTGAAAACCACCTAAGCTGGAACGTCATGGCATTGCCTTGAGCCAGCTGTGACTCAATGGCACACTTTACCTTATTGTCAACCAGGTCCAAATAAATCACAAATAGGTACCAAGAGTTGCCTTTAAATGTAATGTATCTTAATTCCCACTGGCAGAGGAGTTCTGGTAGTTTTCATAAACCTTATCTAATCTGTACCTACTACCAGAGCCGTCCTTGTCCCCCCCACCCATCAAGAAGCATGGCTTATTCTGTGACTGAACCAATGCTGGTGGCGGGAGAACTATTGAAATTAGAAATGTGATAGGTTTCTTGGTATTGTCTTGCATACTCCTAATTGACATTTTGCTTGTTGAGTCTAACACTTCTTTCCCTTCTCCCTCAGAAAATGCCCAGTACAGACCTTTCAGATATCCCTGCTCTCCCTGCAAATCCTATTCCGGTTATCAAAAATTCAATAAAACTAAGATTGAATCGGTAAAACCAACCTCAGGGGTCCATAAACAGTATCTGCCAATTCAACCCGTTGTCTTCTAACACTGAAATGGAGAACAGAAGAAGGGTGCAAGACAAGAATGTGAACACAGATGGATTTAGGTATAATTTGTGCACTTCCCTTGCTGGGCTCTAATCACTTGATCTGGGACATCCAGGTTAATATGTGAAGCCAGGAGTACTGTTAACGTGTTAGCAACAGTTGCATTAAATACTTCCAAGGATTACTGCCTTTAAAAAAGGAATGGGGATACTATTTCTAGCCATATTTAACTGAATTGGGTTTATGTTGATGCATCGTTTGGAAAGGAAAAACAACAAAATGGAGATAAAAACTGGCAAAAGAATCCCTTAAATGCACTTTTATGTACTTTTTTATTGGGATATAACTAATTTTAGCGCTTTGGCTTGATAGATTTTATTTTTATTGAAGAGATTCTTCAATATTGGTGACCTTCAAATTAGAGAACAGCCAGATATATTGTGTACTGAAGGTTTTTTAAAAAAGGTATACACTATATCTTGCTCAGTTTACCATTAAGCAGCAGTAAACCTTTAAAAGAAAATGTCAAACCTTGAGGTTGTTAAGTTTTGAGAAAACACACATATTGGGTATTGGATAGGGCATGATTAAGAAGTGGTCTATTTTTTATTTATCGGATTATTTTATGGTGTATACAAATCAGCTATCAAAAAGCAATTTCCCCCCCTTTGAATGAATCAGAAACTCCTCTTTGTTCTTTTCCTGTTTCTGTCACCATATTTCTTGGAGGGGGGAAAAAAACTTTTGCATTTAACTTGGTTTTATTTCAGTTTGTATGCACAAAATCAGACTAATGTCAGTTGAATGCTGGTATTTTTTTTCCTTTTAACTGGTCGTGATGGTTACGTAAGCCCTGTAACTCTGTGGCCCTGTGGCAAATGCCACTTTTCTCCCCCATAACTGAAACTGAGTGAATAAAGTGTGCCTGTGAAGGAGCAGAACACCTGTCTTGATGGCCTTTCGTCACTAAATATAAGAGTTTTGTACACTCCATAAAAAGTCCTGTCTGCATTAACGAACATCTCAGATTTTAAATATAAAGGTAGATCTCCCCCACCCCACCCCAGGATTTTAACCGTTTTTATTTTTTAAGATAGCTCGTCCGAAAGTAGTTTTACATTCTGAGTGTTTATTTTTTTTAATCACATTCTAGCAGGCACTTAAAGATCCAATAAGTTCTCCCGGTGTCTTCGTTTTGTTCTGTAGAGCTATCAAAATGATTAGCGGCAACTTTTGTGTTAAAGAAATTACAGTCTTTTCGTGACTCAGCGGCAGAACGTGAGGAATGCCAGCGATATCAGATGCAGATAATAAACTACATGTTAACTTAGATTCAATCAAAAATTAAGTGGGATGGGTAAATTGCCCTTCCCATATTTTCTGATCAGCATGTTTAATAACTTCCTTCCCCTGCATTGTGCTCAATCCTCCTACATGTGCATTTCCATGTTAAAGTAAAATTACTTGCTCTTCCCCCACCCTTCCCTCTAAGTTAATTTTCCAAAGTCAGAGATTGTAGCTTATTCCCTACCTCCCCAAGCTGTGCAGTAACCAAGATTTTATTTTCTACCCTCTCGTCTACGACGTCTAGTATACGAAATTCTTGCCCTGGCCCTATACAACCTCCTGTGGTCAAGCCTTCCACCCCACCAAACATGGCCCCAGCACCTCGCCTCTCCTCCCTGCTCTCACCCACCACCCAGTCCAAAAGGTTTAACTAACAATTGAAGTGTACAAGCTGTCTGTGTATTTTGTGTAGCTATGGACTTTAGATCGAACTTGCCAGGCACAAAATTTAGTCTCATTTTGTTTACACATCAGGAAATCCTCTCTTTTTTTTCCATTTTATTAAAACGTTTCATGTATCTTGCAAACCCAAGTTTTGCCAAGCTGGAAACTTGGAATCTTTTCTGTATAGTGACTTTTTAATTCTAGTTTTCATAACCTGGAGATCAGACTGTTGCTTTCGCATGATGTACGTAGGTGTCTCATGACTGGAGTTGCTTTGTTTTATAGTATCTGTACTCCTTGTATTTTTCAAGAGCTATTTTGTAAACAGATGATGTATTTCTCCATGGAAAACAATAAAAAAACAGCACAATCCCACAATTGCCTGACTTCTTTTAAGCATTTAAAATAGCAGTGCCTCAAAATGGTCAAATTAACTTTTTTGTCCCTAGTTGGGGGAACTACATCAAACAAAACCACAATGCATCAAAGAATATTCAACCTTAAAGTGTCAATTGACAATGAGTTGTAAAAGAAAAAAAGGTGAAATGCTATTTTCTATTCTACTTGTTCAGTTGCTTGCAGCATCCGCCTGAGTATGATCAATACCTGGATAGATGGATGATGTCCTGTTTATGCTGCCTTAGTTTCATGATAGAAGCAAAGTGGGCTATAATGGTGCATTAAAAAAGAACCCAGCTGCTAATAGTGTGCCTGTTCCATATTAATACGTTGTGCCTGGCTTATTGTTGAATAGCAGAAGTAGGGGGAAATAACGTGAATACAATTTGGATGTATGGGAGAGGACTAGGGGTGTTTTTAAGCCTGAATGCACCTTTTGCTTTTGGGGTTCAACCTATTAGTACTGAGGTGATATATACATCTGCTTGTGAACTGTACTCCATTAATTTTGTTACCAGCAGATGGCACCATTTGTTCGTGACTGTTAAAACCCTAGCAAAACAGATAACAAAGAACAATCAGAACCTGTGCATTATACTTACTATCTATCCTCTGGCCTATAGTTCACAATAAAACAGCCAGTTTCCCATGTTGTAACGTAATTTTGGTGTTGACCTTCATCATTTCGTTTGAGCACCAAGTTTTGAAATCAATATGCCAATATATCATCCTCTTCAGGGTTCAGTTACAGCTCAAATTGTGCTACTGCTTGTATGATAAATTATTAAAAACTGTTCCAAATCCGTTGTTTACAGTTTAGAATAAGAAAGTGGCCTGCATCCAAAGAATTCTGCACATGTGTCCCAGGACTCCGTGAATTTCTCCAGATACAAAACTCTGTGCCACGTCAGAAACCATTCCAGATTGCTTCTTTGAAGTTTGGGTGGGAAATGCAGATAACTAAGGGCTACTGAAACCTTGTAGCATGGGAGGATCCTCTGCCTACTGTTTTCTGCTACCCTCTCATATGTTTCCAATTCAATTAGCCACTGAAATAGTCCATTAACCTCAATGAATGCCTCTTGGTTGTACCACTTAGAATACTGTGCACCTTAATGTTTCACAGTTTGTATAAAACACACACCTAAATACATTGCATGCTGTCTGAACTGTAGAGATCCCATCGCAAAATACTGAACTGTATGCTTCCTCCTTTGCTTTCCTAAGTAAATTTGCTTAGAGTGTGTGTTTGTTTGTTTTTTTAAAAAATGCTGTAGCACACAACAGTATTAATTATTTTAGTTTGCTTTAATCATCTTTAAAGCATTAGTTCGATATTCAGCAGAAACCGCACCATCACAAGTTTGATGGAAGCAGATGCAATTTGAGAAAGTCTGCAAGGTTCAAACTAGTTTTTGAAATCTATAGGCATCAAACATCTGCCACTATCATCACCAAAAGAATAGTGCTAACTTTGATATCAAACTTCAGAGTCTGTGCCTTGTTATAAAAAGATAACACAGTGAACCGCTGCTGGATGTCCCATCTGTTTTGGTTGATATTTAAGCTCCTAATGGCTTTAAAATAGTGTTTAGGCATGTCAAAGTGTTAGTTCTAAATTCCGCAAATATTTGGTCCTTGCACTAAAAATGAGGGTTTGGTTGAGGCTTGGCTGTCTTTTCATTTTTCTATCCATGTTATGCCATCCATGTATCCAGCAGTACAGGGAAATGGTTTTAATTTGAGTACCATAAGAATCCCCTGCGTGTTTCAATAAATATATAACAAAATGAACTTTAAAGGCAAAGGGAAAAGCTGAATTCAAATAAAATTGTTTCATGACGGATGCAAAGCTGTGCATTAATTAGTCTGCGGAGACAGCATCTATTAAATTACTGTTTTTAAATAAGAATTTGTACCCGGAGAAGAGTTTTTAAGCTATAATTAGGAAAGAGGAAAATTAGAAAATATTGAAGATGTTGAGGTTTTTCAAAGGAAGCTTATGTAAGAAGATACGGGCTGCATTCAGATGGCAAACTTCACCCCCATTAAAATGTGTACAAATCTCTCCTGTAGTACATTTCTCTGCCCATGACATACAAATGAAGGTGTGCAGGTTAAATTTAAAACTATCCACTCAGCCCTAGATTCTAAATATGGATTAAATCTGGTTTCAAATTCTGGTTAGTGGGGAGAATAATATACCACAGCAAGTCAAGGTAGATGGGATGGAATTGTTTCTAAGGGGTGGTGTTTCACTGCCTGTGTGCAGGGGAGGAGGATCAAGGTGTGTGGGAGAGCCCGGCAGCATTTCATGCTTGTTAATTAAAAGGCGCCTGACCGTAGGCATAAAATGGAAGGCAACAGAAGGAACAGGTCAAAACGGCCACTGTATTTAAGCAGGCCACTTACTAGGATTAGTTTCTGGTTTATGTGTATTCATGGGAACATGTTCTAATATAAAACAGCATTCTGTATGACCACATGGTTCATATACAGAAATAATGTTAGGGGTCTTGTCTTATTGGGATCCTAGAAGCATTGTAGTGAAAGCTGAAGACCTCTGTTAAAAGATGTACCTATGGGAAGGGGTGGTATTACTGAAGAAGACAAATGAGTGTCCAGCTTTGATTGTGGACCCCGCCTCTCCCAAGCTTGATCAGTGGTTTAATACTGCCACCTCTAGAGCCCAGGCTAGCCTGATCTCGTCAGCTCTTGGAAATTAAGCAGGGTCGACCCTGGCTACTGTTTGGATTTGAGACCTCCAAGGAATACCAGGGTCATTAGAGGCAAGCAAAGGCAAACCACTTCTGAACATGTCTTGCCTTGAAAACTAGAGATGTGCATTCGGTTCATCTGAACCGAATGCACCCCCAAAAATGGCCTATTAGGGCCCCTTTTGGGCTGCTGTGGGCGGATTCAGATTCTCTGATCTGAATCAGCATGCTGCTGAATTGCCGCTGAAATTCGGTGGCAATTCGGCCCCATTATAGCCTATGGGCCATTGAAGTCAATGGCAAAAAATATGGTATATTCTGGGAGCTGGAGGGGAGGGGGTTTGAGGGAGAGGCTCCAAACTTGCAGGGTAACTGCTGGAGCCTCTCCCCGAGATACCCACCAAGTTTCAAGGGGGTCCAATTATATGGGCCCCCAAACAGGTTGCCCCCATCCCCTCCATTCTCTCTGGTGGGAGAAAAGGTTTAACATGGATTAACACTGGTGGCTAGTGGCTATAGATAAGGAACTCCTGTTCTCTGAGGCAAGTGATGCTCTGGTGCTGGGGGGGCAACCCCCTCACCTCTTTTAATAGTACTGGGTTACTTATAGTTTTTTTTAAAAAAAAAAACAACTCCTGAACACCAGCCACTGATGGACCACTGCTCTGCTCCAGCCTCCATATGTTTGTCAAATTCCATCTGGAAGCTGTTCATGCCAGCCACCACCACCACCACCTGTGGCAGTGAATTCCATGTGTTAATCACTGTTTGGGTGAATAAGTACTTCCTTTCATCTGTTCTAACTTCTAACCTGACTGCTCAGCAATTTCATTGAGTGCCCACGAGTTCTTGTCTTGCGAGAAAGGGTGAAAAGTACTTCTTTCTCTACCTGCTCTATCCCATGCATAGCCTTGTAAACTTCTTATCATGTTACCCCTCAGTTGTTGTTTCTCAAAGCCAAGATCCCCAGGCGCCTTAACCTTTCTTCATAGGGAAAGTGTCCTCCTGTTATCATTGTAGTTGCCCTTTTCTGCATTTTTTCCAGTGCTATAAATATTCTTTTTTAGGTGTGAGTGGCCCAATGCGGTTGCAGCATCAATTTATACAGGGCAGGGCCTGTTTAAGTGTTGTTCCTGTTGGTCTTTTGGGGTTTCTGTGTGGCACTGTGGCATACTTGCACTTCCACAGTGCCCCTTGTTCTGGAGTGTGCCACTTGTTCTCATGGCAAACAAGCACCTCCCAAGACAGTTCACTTTCCCTGAGATTCTCTGGGAGAGTCTGACTGCTGGGTGCTGCCTGGCTTGCCTGCCTTAAGTACACCCCCCCCCCCCCCCGAGCCACCAAGCACTGTGGGGGGAAAGTAACCTTCCCCCCCA